CCGGCCTTTCCTTCAATTGGCCTTTCGCGCCGAGCGGAGGCCTTTCTGCCAACAAAAGGGGGCGCCCCCGGGCCTTCACGCCCCTCCTGCCTTGGCCGGCCTCCGGCCATTGGCCGGCGGCTTCCCTTTCCGGCAGGGGCCCTCACCGGCCCTTCGGTTGCCGCGCCGGGCATTCACCGCCGCCGCCATGGCCACCACCTCCCTGGCCACCACCGCCCTCCCCGCCCCCGTCAAGCCCGCCTCCGCCGTCGCCGCCGCCGCCGTCGCCTCCGCCACCATGCCCGCCGCTGGCCAGCCCTCCGCCACCATCACCACCACCGCCCAGCCCTCCGCCCGCAAGCCCGCCCCCGCCATCGCCGCCGCCTCCCTCGCCACCGCCGCCCTGGCCGCCACCCCCGTCACCACCGCCTCCGAGCACGCCCCCGCCCTCGCCTCCGCCGCCCTCGCCACCACCCCCGTCTCCGCCACCGCCGAGCCCTCCCCCGCCCTATCCCCCTCCGCCCTCACCGCCACCGCCCTCGCCGCCGCCGCCCTCGCCGCCGCCACCGAGCCCGCCGCCACCGTCACCCCCGCCCCCGTCGCCGCCACCTCCCTCACCGCCACCGCCCAGCCCGCCGCCGCCATCTCCCCCACCGCCGTCACCGCCACGCTGCCAGCGCAGCCGCCGGGCGACGCGACAGCGGCTAGCGGCCGGGAGAGCCTCTCCAGTGCGGGCTGGGGGCGGCGGCGGCACTCTGCGGGTGGCGGGCGAGCTGCTGGCTGGCAGGCGGCGCGTCTCGACTCAAATTATGGGCCGCCTCTCGGGCGTGCGGCCAGGGGCCCGTGTGGCGCGAGGAGAGGGCGGCGCGCTCGGCGCGCTGGCGGCGGTGAAGCCTCTCAGAGTGGGCGCTGGCTGGCCGAGGAAGTCGGGCGGGTGTGGGGCGGCACTCGGGCCGCCGGACGGGCCGTGGTGGCCCGTGTGGCGTTCGTGAGGGACTGTTTGGGCGCCCCGGCAGCCTCCCCGCCTGCGTGACCAGGGCCGGTTTGGCAGCGGTTTGGGCTGTGTGTGGGCTGGTCGCGGTAGGGGATATAGTGCTTGTTTATGGTCCCACTCACCACTCCCGGCCAACGGGGCCTCGCGGGGCGTCCTCGTTTGCAGTAAAAGGCCTCTGCCATCGCTCAGAGTCCCAAACCATGTGATCATCCGCGCCGCCGCGCCCGAGTAGTCTGCCAGATGCGACGTCGTCGGGGAGGGCGTCGTCGCGGGCGCCAACGTCGTCATCCGAGCCCCTACGCCTGTCCAAGGGCACGTCTGGGTGACCAGGGGCGGGGGCCGAGCCGTGAGTGCTCCGCCGGGGCGAGCTTCTGGGTCCATGGGACCGCTGCCGGACCCATCCGAGAGCCTCTCCGGACACGTTCGCTCGACGGCCTAGCTGGCGGCCGATGTTCGACGACCAAAGCTCCGGACGCCGCGGCCAAAGGTCCGCCCACGGCCCCAGGACTCGTGGTGGGTGTGGGGTGTGCCTCACGAGGCGGAGAGGCCGCGTGAACTCCCGTAGAAGCTCGCGAAGTGCGGATTTGCATTGGAGCGCCGCGCTCTACCTCCGCCGGGGCCCGCCGGGGCGCCGTATGGGCCTCGGGGTGCCCGAGAAGCTTAGAGGTGCGGGTTTTTTGCTTGTGTCTATCGGTTCATGTCATGGACCGGCCCTGGGAATCTTTGACCGCGCGCGGAGGGTGTTACAGGGCCGTGATGATTTAGCGGGTTGGAAATCGGCCGATTTGCCCAGTGTGAGTCGCCGATCCACACCCCCCCCAAAAAAATTCAAAAAATCGCAAACCCTGTCAGCAGAGTCATCCTACGGGAATGTACGTCAGAGCCAGGGGGTGGGGTGATGAATTTCCGGCCTTCGGAGCTGAACAGCGCCTCGTCCCACCGAGCCTCGTCCGAGAGAACGTCCCGCCTGTGTCTTTCGGCGATAGCACGATGGTGTTCTCGCGCCGGCCGTCCAGGGACCTCAACGCTGCGAGCCAGACGCCCACGACGGCAGCAGATGGGCTTGGGTTCCCAACCACGCAGTCGCTCCTCGATGCGCTTCCCAGCCCCAAGCTCAAGGGCGACGGTTCGGCGTCCGGCAAGAAGTCGGTCACCGGCCATGGCTGGGCTCCGAGACATGGAGGCGACGAGGCGCTGCTGGTCGCAAAGGCGCTGAAGGCGCGTCCCGACCTGGCGAGGCGGGCTCGTGGCCTGGCCGAATGCCCTCGCCTTCTCCTCGTCCTCGTTGGCTTGCCTGCTCGCGGCAAGTCCATCCTCGCGGACAAGCTGGAGCGTTTCCTCAACTGGCGCGGCTGGAAGACCGGCGCCTTCTCGGCAGGCGCGTGCCAGCGAGAGGGACGGCCGGTCGCAAGGGGAGAGGGGCAGGGGACTAGGTGAGAGAAGGCCCTTCTCGGCACAGGCGCGACGCGACGCAAGCTGGAGGGCGAGGGCAGCGGCGGTGCCGCCTTCTTCGACAGCGCCAACGTGGGCTCGTCTGTGGCGCGTGGCAAGATCGCAAACGCCGTGCTCAAGGAGGCGCTCTCCTTCCTCGACACGGGCGGCGAGATCGCGATCTTCGACTCGTCGAACGCCTCCAAGGACCGGCGCGCGATGCTCTCCGAGAGTGTTCACGCCCACGGCGAGGCGACGGGCCGCCCGATCGCGATCGTGTTTGTCGAGTCGATCCTCACATCGCCGACGCTGCTGCTGGCAAACATGAAGGCCAAGGTGCGCGCCAGCCCCGACTTTTACGCGCTCCACGAGCCGGCGGCGATGGAGTCGCTCAAGCAGCGGATCGTCCACTATGAGCGCGACTACGAGTCCTGCTCGGAGGAGGAGGGGCCGTACATCAAGCTCTTCGACCTCTCCTCCAAGGCGCATGCCCCGCACCCCGCACGAGCCTCTCCCCATCTTCTCTCCGCCCACAACCCCCACCCCCTCTGCTCCCCGACCCCGTCGCCTGGAAAGGTCGAGGCCTCGCACATCTACGGCCGCGTCTCGTCGTCGGTCCTGCCCTACCTCCTCTCGATAACCTTCGTTGCGCGCCCCGTCGCACTCGTCTCTGTCCCTGACAACGACGACACCGGCAACTTTGCTGCGGCGCTCGCAGCCTGGGCGGAGGACCACGCCGGCCCGCTCCAGGTGATCAGCTCGACGCACCCGGCCGCCATGGCGGCGGCGGCGAGGGTCGCGCAGGCCAAGGAGGCGCAGAGCCCGTCGCACGGCCGGAAGACCGCCTTTGCGTGCGACGAGCACGGCGAGCGGGGCTGGCCAGCATCCTCCTGCCCAAGGAACGCAGCGTGCCACGACATGTCCACGACATGTCCCGTACGAGGGGGCGAGCAGGGGCTGGCCTCCGTCGGCCCTCCGATCCACTTCGCCGAGCTGCTGCCGAGTAGCCTCGGCAGCGGCGACTCGCCCCCGACCAGCTTCGAGGAGCGCGCCGCCCTCGGCGCGGGCACGAGCCCCAAGGACCTCGTGCGCCGCCTCGAGCCAAGTGTGCTCGAGTTGGAGAAGCGGCTGGCACCGCTGCTGGTCGTGGCACACGCGGCGCCGTGCCGCGCGCTGCGAGCCTACCTGCTCGGCCTGCTGCAGCCGAGAGAGCCACTTCGGCGGGCCGTGCAGTGGCCATCCGCCCGTGAGAATAGGCGCGCCGCTGCTGGAGTCGCTACACGCCTCCTCCTCGGCCGGAGCCGCCGCCCTCGCCGACGACGCCACGTCGCTCGTCGAGCTCACGCCGTCCGACAAGATCTATGGCTTTGCCGAGAGCATCGTGTCGCTGGCCCGCCGGAGCGGCATCGTGGGAGCAGGCTCCGCCTGAGCACACATAGCGGGCCAAATGGGACCTGTCGGCTGAGAGAGGTTGTAGGTGCGCTGTTAGCAGAACACGACACAGAGCTCACACAGAATCACAGCGGGAGGAAAGGGAGAGTACATAGGTAAGGAAAGTTTTAAGCGCCGGCCGCGAATTCTTCGGGGGGGGGGGGGGGGTCGCCGCTACTCGACGAATCTCTCTGTGTCTATCTGAACCAGTTACTTCCTGAAGTAACTACTTACTCTGAGAAGTAACTCCCCGCCCCGCGCCTGCAATGGCCCCTAGCCCCCGCCCACAGCTCCCTAGACGCAGGGCAGACCTGGACTGGAACGGACCCGCCCCCTAATACTCCTCTGAAAAAAATAAATAAAATATTCTTACCTTCAAGCCCCCCTCCGAGACTAGGGACAGTCACCACCCGTACACAGGAGAGATGGGAGTGCCCCCCGCCCCCACTTGCCCTGACTGCACAGGATAGCGTGCCCCGATAACGGCGACACATAGTGGGGGACACTGCGCAAGGTAGGGGGTGCGAAGCCTAAGATTGGGGTTCTAGGTGGTGGGACCATGAGGGGGGGAGGGCGGGGTCCTGTGGGGGTGAAATGTTGCGCGGCGAATTCGAACCTACCCCCTCGCCGCGCCGATCCTCACGCGGAGGGTAAAACCCTGTGGGACAAAACCCCTCCGCGGTCGGCTGTCTTCAGAGTGGACCCCCCCCTCCCCAGCCTCCCCTGTTGGTTTTCGCACCCCCCCCCCCCCGCTCCCCATCGGTGACTCGCGAAGGACACGGACACTCGGGGTGGGAGGGGAGGGGTCCCCCAGAGAGGGGGCTTTGGGGCGCCTTGTTGAGTCAATCTGCCCCCCAGAGGGGCCTTCTCGGGTCGACCTCTGGTCGATCTCGTGTCGATCTCGGGTCGATCTCGGGTCAATCTCGGGTCGATCTCGGGTCGATCTCGGGTCAATCCCGGGTCAATCTCGGGTCGATCTCGGGTCACGTCGTGCGGCGTAATGAGGCGAGATGAGGTGAGATGAGGCGAGATGAGGCGAGATGAGGCGAGATGAGGCGAGATGAGGCGAGGCGAGGCGAGATTAGACGAGATGGGGCGAGATTAGGCGAGATGGAGCGGGATATCGCGAGGTGCAGCCAGCTCCTGCCTGGATGGAGTCAGGATAATGCCTGGGAAGATTCTGATTGGTGCCTGAAGGGGGCTAGGTATGCCTGGAAGGAGCCAGGTTGATGCCTTGATGCCTTGAGGGAGTCGGCTTG